CGACATCACGTCCTCGCAGAAAGACACCACCGCGTCCCACGACTCTGTGCTGTCCACCATCTTCCGCACTACGGCCGGCAGCGACAGATCGCCTCCTACTTCATTTGTGAGGACACGGCGCTGCTCCTCCCAAGCTACACACTCGGCGAGCGTGTGTTGCCCTGTGTCCTCCCCGCAATGGACGCAGTGGTGGCACCGGGCGTTCGGCTCCCTCTCTATGCGGCACAGGTACTTGCCGAAGCAGCCGTGCCCTGACAGCACCTGCGTCACCCTAAACGACAGGGAGCCGTGCTTCCTCCCGAGCCAGTCGTCGAGTACTGGCCGGATCGCCTCGACGGTAGTAAGGCCGTGGCCGTGGCCGGCGGTGGGGCGCAGAAGCCTTTGCCGCCATTCCGCCACCAAGACCTGACGGAGCTCCTCTCGGCGCCGCTCAATTTGGCGCTGGACCGGCCTCGAGCCCCGTGTCTGCTCTTCCTCGCGCCATCGGTATAGTGACGCGAGTACTTTCGCTCCTAGGTCCCAGGGCGGGGATCCGGCCAGGACGCAAGCCGCCTCGTAGGAAATCGTGCGATACCCGCGGACGACTCTGACAGCCATCGCCCTCTGTGGTTTTTTTAGGATGGCGACCCTTTTTGTCCTCACCTAACGCAGGCGCTTACCGAACATGTAGATTTCGGTAGGTATAAGGTACCTGTTGTTACTGATTGGGCGGAAGGAAACGCCCGGGTAAGGATACGATGGCGATGTACCCTGCAATGGCTGAGCCCCGCCGTATCCTCAGCGATGTGATCGGCGAAGGCGGTTTTTCATGTCCGGTTCTGGTTTAGACCATGTTGCGCACGCGAGAATAAGTAGGTATTGTTGATATGCCGTTTCTTCTGCGTCGTGGATCTGCGTATGCGTTGGGGACCGAGAGACGATCTCCGGCCACTATAAACGTGAGTATACGGACGGGGAGCAAGAGACCAAGAGTAGCTCGTCGCCCGATCAGAACCAGACCCGAGGGTGCCGTTTAGCGCGAGTCTCAATGAGCCATCCGACCACCATAGGCATAGATGGAGCCCAGAAGGGCTGTCGCCCAATACGGAACCGCGCAAGACTTAACGGGTTACCGGTTTTCCGGCTCGAAGAGCGGAAGTAGGAATAGGGTGGTTTTTAGTCAGTAAGAGTCTGACACACCCCCTTGCCCAAGATGGGAGAAGTCAATGCATGACTTCCATCCTTAAAAAAAACATGACACTGGTGATGACTCTGGTCAATATCTATTATTTTTAACTCTGCTTCTGGTGTACGAATAATGGTCATAATTTTCTAATTTTCATGGTTATGCTTTGGTTAGTTTTAAAGTTTTGATAATTTCTACTAACAAGTAAGGTCGGCGCCGAGTTGTATGGTTTTGAAGTCTGTATATTTGTTTCATCAGGCCGGCAAAACTGGGTCTTGCGACCAACTACAAATATAGTTCGCTTTGTGTACTTAGCCGTAGCTTCAAAAATTGTGATTGCTACCATTGAGCCTTAAGGGCTACAACTACAACTGGTGGTGCTACATTCTAATGCAGGATATAATAAATATGATAATACAAAGATTAAAAATAAAAACATCGATTAATTCCTAAAATATTTATTTAATATACGAAGTTTAACATTCCATGTATTGTTATGAATATGAATGCATGTAAAGTTCTAAAAACAATGACATCTCGAGGAGAGAGGTAGGTCCATACAATATGTATTCTTATAAGCACGAAATACGAAGCTAAAAGTTTTTCGAAATACCACTCGTACAATATTATCCATTAAATAAAGATAACAAATCTGTTTTCGAACATTCATAATTCTTATTAAATTCATCACTAGCTACACTTTGACGAATGTCAGATACACAGTCATGCTCAAATGCTTTTGCAACTCAAAAATACAGATTAAAATGTAAAGAAGAGATAGGTACGGAAAATAACAATGATAAAAAGCACAGGGTCAGATTATTAATGAATAATATTCTTCGTGTAAAAATAAATAATGAAATTAACAACGAAATATAATGTATTTTTCTGATATACAAAACTGTAAAAAATGTAAATAAATCAACAATTTGCATTCACCACAATGAAAGGTATTATGTTTATAATTATACAATTACATTAGTACATTTATTAAATGTTGCTTAATCCTGATAATAATTAATGTTTCATTAAAAGTACATATATGCAGATACAAATTTAGAGGCATATAATGCCACGAGTATCATAATGTTACGGAATAGTGTTCATAGTAATGTTCATTATACTCCCCACATACACACCGCTCACATCTCATTACACAAAGTATACAATTTATTCAAATTTTGTATTAACATCACGATTTCTAAAAGTAGTGGTTTTGATTTCCTAAGGAAATAAGGACACAAGGAAGACCAGAAAGACAGAATTACGTATTAGAAATCGGTTAATGTTGAACTCGTTCACAGAAACGGTTGAATGATGCTGTATAAGATATACTGGATGTGTAAAGCTGTGCACATAACACAGTTTAGCACGTGCTGTGGCGAGTCGGTAACTTCCCGCTAGCGACGCGCACCAAATTCAACGGCATCATCGTCAGTGATGTCTCCGTGTCGCCACAAGTTGAGGCGCGAGCACTTGGCGTGCTCCTGCGCGGCGCGGTACTCAGCCACCAATCCCATCAGGCGGTGGTCGCGCAGTGGTTCCATCAGCACCAATCCCTCTTTGATCAAATTCTAAAAATATCATAATTTGCATATTTTAATAAATCATTCAGTACAGTCAAAAGACGTATTTTCACTAAATCCGTATTAATCGTTTTTTTTTTCAGATACTACAAGAAGTTCTAATATATTACCTTTCCGATGTCTACGTTGGTGTTAGGATCAACGAGAGTGACGCAAGGTGGGGAGCCACGAGTCTCCACGTTAAGAAGCAGTTTCCTGTTCAGCGTATCCGAAGAGAAAACTGCAACTGCTTCAGATCGATCTTCAGGGTCCGCTGGGAACTTCACGCAACACAGTGTGAACTCACTGGCATAAGCTGGTTCCAGCTCAGTGCCTGGTGGTAGTGGAGCCAGGCGCGCAGCGGGCACAATCTATAAGACATATCACAATATTAATATGTATTATATACCTACATATATTTGTCTCATAATAATATGACCATAAATTAAGATTTCTAGTATTGATTGCTGTAAAATGTGAACTTATAAATTTAATAACTCATAATTAGGTGCATTAATGTGATCATTCTGCAGAAAATTATTGCAAAACTAAGAAGAAAATTAGAGTAAGACTTGACAGTGATAGATATCAAAAGTATAGAGGTATACAGTTAGTACATGTAAATTACAATGATTTTATTCAAGTTCCTACACAACAATATGCCTAACTTACCTCACGGTTTCCGTAGTCAATGTAGTAAATATGAACCATTTTATCTTCAGTGATCCTTTCAACCTTGGCCCTATACCAATTTTCATCTGAAGTGTAACGAGCAGCGCAAATATGGCCTCTTCTGGGGACGTATGATCCAGGAAGGGGGGCATTGTTTTTGAATTCCTGATGAATTCTATCCATTAAATTTTCGAGCTTACTGCCCAAGTCAACATTTTGTGCATAAAAATTGCCTTCTTCTGTTACCTCAGTAACAACAACTTTCTCATACTTCACAGTACGATCTTGAATTGGAGCATTTCTTTCCTTTTCAGTTTCTTTTTCAACTTCTACATAATCCCTCCATAATCCAATACGCCGTTTCATTGCGTTTTCTTCAGCAGTTTTAATTTGTCGAGCAAATTCCGATGTTTCTGCAGTGTGGTGCATTGTAGCCAGCCCATGCTCCACTAAAGCCACTGATAAGTTCTCATTATCATTCCATAACCAACCAATGAAATTGCCTGCCTTATCCATTTCTTCAATAGTGACAACAACATCACGTTGCAGGCATTTTTCCTTGGTGAACTGCAAAGCTTCTTCACCGAAAGGCTCGGCGCTCTGCATGCCACCTCCTCCTATGGCAGGGCGTGATCCCCTAGGGCAGTTGATGCCAGCGAGCAGGAATGTCACTAGGACAGATTCTTTGGGAATGTATATCCTCATTCGAGATCCACTGGCGACAAACTCTACCGTTGCCTCGGTTTTCTGAGCTCTCTTAAGGAATGGGAAAAACTTTTTGGATTTGGCAGAGTCTCCACTCGTATCTTGGATACGATGAGTAGGGATATCTTTTTTAGCGTGAACGCCAATACCAGCTTTCTGGGCCTTCAGCTCAGCTTCTAAGAGTTTGTCATAATGGGAGCTGCGCTGATCATTATCATTTCTGTATCGAACAACGGTGGCATACCCCTTTGAAACCAATGCCTCAGCCAAATTCCTGTGTAATAGAAAATGTTAAATGAATTACTATCTGAATCAAAATTAAACTAATAAACGAGCAGATTATTCAAGTTTATTCAGAAAATTATGATTTGGATACTTACACTCCTCCTGCAACAACAGTACAGCAACTTTTCTCTGGGAAATTGTCCTTAGCGGGCTGGATATAGTCAACAGTCACGTTAACTCTCTTGCCAATCACCTTCTTTCGTAGAAATTCACGAGCTTCATACATCCATGGTATATCATACAAGGGTTTGAAGCCTTTTGGTCTTGGAGAGTTTTTGCCTTCCTCATCAGGGTTGTTTCTGTGAAGAAAAAAAAAACAATGATAAAACTGTTCAATGTTCATACAGTGGAAAAAGTAGGTGCTTACTTACTTTTCACGTGGTGGTCGGATGCTGGCCAGGAATATTTTTTTCTGGGTGTTGTTAGGCATTTTCACAACAAGAGCATCTCCGTTCACAACTTCCATTACTGTTGCTGTGAATTCCTTGTCCTTAGCTGCTATAATTGGAGCATTGCTCACATAGTTAGTCCAAATTCGGATCCTAGCTTCCTTGGCAGCTTTCTCTGCACTTCGTAAAGACGATGCGCCTAAAAAAGATATTTTAACGTTAACATGGGAAAGAGACAATTTTGTGAGCAAGTCAAATCGGTATATAGTGATGCAAAAATCACGTCGATTTCTAAATATTATTTTGTATTTCAACATCACATATTAAATTAAGTGAAACTTACAAAGTTCTTGATGTTACGATAATTTATATTATTTATATTTTGTTAAAAATGCATCCTGTTCATGATTCAAATGCATCAAGTTATAGTCAATAAGTCTGATAATATTATTGTGAAGATGCTTGGCAACTGAAACTATAATTTAGTGCCAAAATATTTTATTATTTCATGATGGCATTCTGTAGCTCATCAACATTTATAGCTATACAAATAAATATTTGTAATAAATCAACAAATAATATAGGTATTTATTTTGCTAGATTTTTTACCAATAGAGAAAAAAAGGGAGTGTTGTACTTGCTGACAGTGTAAATAAAACAAAATATTGTAATAATTTGTGAGATGCATTCAAAAACTGTCGTGGAAAGCGTAATAAACCTGTGCGAAATTAAAGACAATAAACATAAACTGAAATAAACTCATTATTTGATCTGAGACACAAACAAAGCCTTAATAGGTTTAAAAATGTCATATAAGAAAGATACATATATTGCATTATTAAAACACGCAATGAATTTCATACTAAAACACATAGAACATACATATCACTAATCACGTCCCTATTATTTATTTGTGTAAGTATAATGCATCTAAGGCATAATATAGATTTTATGTAATAAATTACATACTTAATAAAACCAAAAGTGCAATAAATCCCAAAGTGTTAGCACATCAAGTACCTCGAAATAAAAAAAGACTGAATACGTTTTAGATACTTCTTTGTTCATCTGACATTTCTTGTGATATTTTTCAGGAATATATTATTTAGGTATTAATTTAATATGATGGATATCAAATTGTTATGTTACTTTCTCTTGGTTCTGTAAAACAATCAATTTCCAAATACATTCAACAATAATGTATCATTTCTGTTAGAAAATTTATTTTCATACACTAAATAATTAAGGACTCGCTTAATTCTGCAAGTCATGTCATACAGTGAAAAAAGATAAAATTTAAAACTTTACTCGGAATTTTAATTCGATTCCAGATTTGACAATTTCGGTGTTGCAACGTTATGACAAGTACTAAATAGTGACGTTGCGAAATTATTCGATATGGAAATGCAATATTTCTGGATCGATTCTTCTCGTTTATAATTTTACTCTCGTAAACTAAGGATATCAGGAAATTAAATATTTCTGACCGATAATTTAGTTTTGACGATTACTTAACGATCTGAGACTTTTCTTTTATAATTGTGTGTGAAATAACTAAAAAATGTAATCATGAAGGAACATGACAAATAAAACAGATAGATGAATTATGGTAATAAGTTATTTTATAAATTGTCGCCATCATCGCTATCGCTATCCTATAACTTTCTGTAACATATATTATAAAACACACACACTGATTGTTTATCGATTTTCGTGTCCATCTCTACACTATTATATGTAGTATCATTATTTCACAAAATGACAGTAGCTATTGTCAAATCTGGAATCTAATTAAAATTCTGACTATAGCTAATTTGTATTTTAATTAAAAAAAAAAATAGCTTATTAGCACTTACAATTGTAGATGCATTTATGGTTAGTAGTAAACTTTATCCTTTAGCGACTTGACTGCTGCACGCCAATGTTTTAAATGTTTTAAATTTTATTAAGCTAAGTTTAACTCAATATATAATGGGTGTTCTAGTAGATAGTGAACGTATTTACGAATAAATTCTATTATATTAATAAAAATACAGGTGGTACTGATAGAATACTAACCTGATTTCATAACTGCAAGAGACCAGTCGACACATCTGGCAAAGCCCTGTCGCAAGAGAGCTTCAGCAATGTTTCCTTGTGGGTGTAAGATGGTACCCACGTAGTTGTTGTTGTTTACAGATTCAAGTACAACTTCTACATCTCTTTGAAGAAGTTTAGACTCTAAAAAGAAACGCGCTTCTTCTGCATAGGGCTCAGATTCACCATCTTGCCTCACTGCGGGGCACTAAAACCAATGATGTTCTATTTAATATTTATGTAAAATCAGTTGTCATTGCCAAGCAGCTTATAGAGCAACCACAATATCAAATTAGATATCTATTAGATTACTTAAAACGATTCGTTGATTTAGATACTTACTCGAATTCCCGACAGCATCAGTGTAATCTGGTAGAAATCAGGCAGTAGGCAGAGCCTTACTGTGGACCCATCACGTACATATTCAATGATGGCTTTGACCGGTTTACCATTGAACTTGGCTACCAGAGCCTTTGGACTGTCTGTCCAAGTCTTGATTTCTCGAACATGGTCCTGTTTATTACAATTCAGTTGTGATAATTTGTAAAAATACTTTATCTTTATATATTGACATAATTGGAGTAGTATCGTATTGACATAAGAAGTAAACAAGTAAAAATGAACAATATGTTGGTAGAAAAAGAACATACAAAAAATTTTAATCTCTTACATCCAAAAGTACAGACAGGTACTCCTGTTTACTTATTCCCTACTAAACTGTTTTAGTCTAACTGCAAAATGTTATAACACAGCTTTTTGTATATGTTTATTTGCTTACCTGCAAATCAGGACCCCAGATGCCTTTACCTTGAGACTTTGCCACATCTTCAAGCTCAACAAGCCTTTTCAATTGAGGTATATTTCTACCTCCATCTCTAACCTTAGCCAAGCCTTCAGTAAGAAGGACTTCAATTACGTTATCATCCTTGATAGGATCTTTGCCTGTCCACACACACCCATATTCCCTGGTGGCTGAGTTGGGAGGTTTATCAGCAGTAAAGATGACCTCACGACCAACTAGTTTCCTGAGATACTCACGAGCCTCCCAGGCAAAGGGCTCGTCCTTCGACTCCGTATCACTGTTAAGAAAAAAAAAAGCATTAGTTCACTTTCATATAATTATGATCATAATATTGTAATAAAACAGCATAGCAATTTCAGAGTAAACTTATTTCTTTTAATTGTTTCGCATTGCTCTTATACCATTAGGAAGAAATAGATTGGCACAACAATAGCAAAGGCATCATCATCAACACCTATGCATTAGAGTTCCTTTAGGTTTAGATTTGAAAACCATAGTATACTCATAGTACGAGAATAAATAATTATATTTAATAATCCCCCACAGAATAAGTTACTATCAACAAGTCATAAACAAAGGTAATAGACAAATAATATAGGAAAATTGATACTTGTTGATAATGAACAAATAGGAACATTAAAATATAAGATACACATAATTATACTAATACCTATATAGTTAATCATTGTATACAATACATTTATCTGAAAATGGTCCAAGATTTGACAGCTCCTTGGGTTTAAATATACTTTTATCTAGTTGTTCCATTGTTTACCAATTTTGATTAACCAATAATGAATTATCAAGTTAGCTTGTTGACTCTCTAAATGAGGTAATCAGCTATATAAATAGTGTTTATATATAAATAAGTTGATGAATTAAGAACTGACCCTTAACTAGAATGTATAAATAGAAAGTGTTATGAAGTGAATCGCTAAAGGCTCATAATAATGAAGATGATGAAGTCCATATTGCTGTCATATATGACTATATGTGTTATAGACGTTGTTGAAAATGTTATTTATCGTAAAGTGAGCTTAAAATCACAATGAATTGTAATAGCTGTTTGTATTCTAAGACAATCTATAAATAGAGAGTTACCTTAATTGCTAATATTGTGTTTAATATAAGAAGTTCCTCCTTATTAATTATCTTTGTACTTGATTATTTGATTTTAATGATAATTATATCAATTAATTAATTGCTAAACTAATATTTTATAATATGTATTGTTAAAGGAATAAAGATAATTGGTTAGGGAAAATATAACAGCATAATAAGGGTCCTGAAATCACCACTACAAAAGCCCTACCTTCTAGACAAAACGCAATCTATACTAGCAGTAGAAAGATACCTTTATGTAATTTATGTAGGCACTTTTCACTGTATTTTCCTTTGAATTTACTAAAACGTTTTAATATTGCATTGCCATATTAAACTGCATCTCATTATTTAACCTTATTAATCCACAAAATACTATTGAATCAAATATTATGGTAATGATTTGTTACCATATGGACCTTGCAACAGGTAACACACATTACATTGCTTATTGCTTACTTTTACAGAATAATAAGCTTGTGGCTGCAGAATCAAAGAAAATGTTCTACAATAATCAGATAAATCAGAATAACTTTATACCTTTTGTTAAGATATAGGCCCGAGGTAGGACTGATGCCAACTACCTTTTCCTTTCACCATATAAGAGCGAATACTAAAATATTATCTTGCAGTACTAATACAACACCTTTTAACTCGTAACAGTATGACAATGCTCATGTTTAACAATAGAGTAATATAATTAGCCATGCCAGAGGAAATAGATGTGTGAAGTTGATATAAATATATTCGCTATTGCTTTGCAGAGTACACATAAAAATATTATTCGGTACCTATATTCACTTATTTACATTTACATCATCTTCAAATTTATCCTACACTATTTGTATCACTACCCCGACTGACTAGCTCATCTAGTATTTATAAATCAAGTTGTTTCGCAAAGCATCCATAACCATGAATGATGTTTCTTTTATATAAAATTCTTCCTTTACAAATTATCCTGGAACTTTTAATTCCAACATTTATACCTAAGGGTTTCAGAAATTATAAAGATATATTTAATTCACAAATGATAAAGATAAATGAATTCACCTTTGAGCAATCTAATACCTGATATCAAAGAAATCAATACATTATGTATGAATATAGCATCTAGATGTTACATGGGTGTGATTGCTGGTCAAGTAATGAGAAACAAATTTAATGACTTAAAGCTGACGTATTTTTGATTACACTTAAATAATAACTTGTTTATTTAAAGAGTACTCACTTATTCGGTGTTTTCTGGCGTGCTAACTTAGGCGCGGTGATGCCAGACAACGCGATGACTTTCTCTGGAGGCGGCCCGCCCTGCGGTTGCCGCCTGATCACAATCGTATCCCCTGATAGTACCTGTTTTGTAAATAAATATGTGATTTATAATTTTAACGTTTTTACATATAATATTTTAGTGGTATTTTATCTATCAAAATTTATATCTACCGATTCCTCAATCTGCCAGCTGGCACAAAATGAAAAAGATTGACCACCAGTACACCAAATACCACATTTTGGTAATCATAAGTTTAAATTAAGCGTACAAGCTATAAAGCTATAAAGATCATGAGCGCGATGATGTGCCAACGAGGCAAATTGAAGAGATCGGCACGAGGCATCCTGGCTTACTGTTTATGAAAATTATAAAAACATGTTATTGTTGTATTACCTGCTTCACGATTCCTATTTTATAAGCAGGCGCGGGTGCTGGAGCACTCATTTTTAAAATATTTTCTCTGTGAAAATCCGGCAAAAGAATAAGATGTTATAAAATGACTGATGTGCGAAGAACTAACAAGATTGTCGAAACGTGGCCGCTGCTAGTGTTTCCACATTGAGAAGGGAGGGTAAATTTTATTGATGTTGATACTTTCTCCGCAGCCGTAGGACTGATATTCTCGTCTGACAATACTAATTAGTTATACCTGTTTTCGGATCAATAATCGACTAATACACAACATGGCGGCCGTTTGTTTATGAGCTAACAGTAGTCTGTGGACATTAAAATGTTGTTTTGTATATTTTTATTTAGTTTTTATATAAATTATGAAACAAATAACAAAGTTACACATTAACATTGTGTTTTTTTTGTACTAGAAAACGAAAATTAAAAACTTTGAAATATCCCATAATTCGACTAAAAACTAAAGTTAAAATCAAAATCGACTTGAATGTGTACTAGGTATAAATGACACTACATATTAAAAAATGCACACGTGATACAACGTGGAACGCGTAGTATCTTTTGAAGTTACCATAAACTATAGATTTTAAACATTTACCACTATATTTTGATGATGTTTTGTAACTATGAATGTATGTATTTACCTTCGGTATGTAAAATAAATACATGTATTGTACATATTTCTTTATATTGTGCTCAAAGATATTGCAATTTCTGCATAATTAAACATAAAAAACATAAATACACGAAAGTAGTAGACACAGTGATGATCACCAAAGAGGTGCCATGTGGCCATGCGTTGATGCTCCTAGGCAGGCATCATCTAAATATAATTGAGATAACGCGGGAATTTCAAAACCTTTTAAAACGCTATAGTCTCAATACGTTGGGCAAATATTGATTTAAACAAAATATTAGACCCTTAGAGTGCCTACGGTAAAACGGGATAATTAATGGTGGACAGTCGTATGGACACCAAAGAGTATAATAAGTAGATAAAGGGGAAACAGTAGAGGGGTGAATACAGGTGTGATCATTGTGATACAGTATTACAGGATAGACACAGGACAGGTGGATAGAATGATAAGGAATGTCAAAATATTTGGAATAAACTATGGGAATAAATAAATAATAGACTAACAACTAACTAACAAACAACAAATAATACAAAAAAAGTACCTCCTCCTTTTTTTCAATTCAGTTTAGATACTATTATTAAACTATAATTACTATAAAAATTAGTAGTTAATTACCTAGGTACTTAAAATAAGTCGCGATAACTGTCATAAGTAAGTCATTACATTTTTTGTAATATCTTTCGAATCAAGTTCTTCTTAATAATTTATTGCAACTACATTACTACTTTTGCCCAGAAGTAAAGAAGAGGGGTTAGGCAAGTTTAGGAGGCAGAAAGTTTAAACATAACATTACAGATGAATCCACAATTGGTGGATTTTATCATTTTTATTCGAATTCGCAAAAAAACATCGAGGTTCGTACCATAAATCGATTAATGAATTAGATGGTGAATCATAGCTTCATACCATGGTGACATAGTTGTCGGCGTAGATCTCTCAACTGATGTTGGGTAGGGCGCTCGATCAGACCTTTGTACTCGCCAGTCTCGCCTGAGTATACCGAAATCGTGATGTTTTTATAAAAACGCTGGATATAGGTACTGTAGTATGATATGACCTAAGTCGATCAAATCAAAGGCCTTCTTAGAGTCCACGTACGCCAAACACAGCGATAAGGTCTATGCCCCAGTTCTGTGTAGTATATAGAGTAACCCTCCGCAGGTTATTGACACATCCATGCTCTGCGGAGGCTACTATAGCCAGTTCGAAAATAACCTGCTTAATAAGTTTGTGATGGCTTTCGAGAAAAAGCGAGAAAAGCTTGCCGGTAGGTAGTATAGTTCAAAAGTGAGATGGGTACTTAGACTTAGACCTATATACATATACATTTCTTCAACTGATGTTACATCCTTGAAGACGAAATTTACCACACTTCAGTGATCTGGTTCGTGATATCGTTTTGTTCTTACTGTTTGAATGCCATTCTAAAATGTTATCTAATATCCGGCTTGTTATTGGTATTGGCTATGGTGTGTTTCGTAAAGGGTGTCTTCAAAGACCGAGTGGATAGTTTGCTTATGGGTAATCATGCAACCTATACAGGGCACCATCGTAGATCGTACTCTCTCATACCACCAGGCGAGACGGATATCTGGAGTTGCAGACGGCCTAGCGGATTGTAGATGCGGTCCCAGGTCCGATTCTTGTGGAACGTTGTCGTTAAACGGTTAAACGGTTAAAGATGATAGCCCTATCCATCAGATATCGAAGACACGACGGAGGTGGGCAGGCACCCAGTGACACAGTAGAACTTCCAAAATGCAGCTCTAGGCCTAGGAGTTGAAGGCGTTGGCGATGTCTAGAGACACTGCCACGACAACCTTATTCTACCAGCAGTACCCGTGGTGAGGTTCCTCACGCACATGATGGCATTCACTAACCGTGGAGCGCTCTTAGCGGAAGCCGAGCTGGCCGTTTGTGAGGTCCGGCCTCCTATCCGTCGGATGTGGAGTAACTACCTTGTGTTTAGGCTTAATTAATTTCTATTGATTTGAACGTTGCAACTTTGCACCTATGTGGATTACAAGAGGCAAAACGGATCTATGTAGCTTTACAATAAAAGTGATAAATTAAAAAAATAAAAACTGCGTTTAAAAAACTGAGTTCAGAAAATCAAAAACATAACAAACAAAAAGTAAAAACTAAAACTAAAAATAACTATTATTAGTAACTACTGATAGGTTACCCACCCACTGATAGGTTAGAAGTCGGTGCCATAAGCTCATATCATAATGGCCACAAAATTGTAAATTAGGTATCTATTAAGGTTCTAATGAAAAATTTGAATAGAACTTATGGCGCCGACTTCTAATTCACGTTGTCATGCTGCACGTCCGCGGAAGGACAGTCCACAGGGCGCCACGGCTTCTTCACGAGGATTAGTCTACCCGCGTTCCTTGATAGTGGAAAGCGCTTAACTGGAAGCCTGAAAGCCTCTAAGGCCTGGAACCTCGCAGCCTCGCGTCGCTAGGCAATCTGTTGAGCCTCCACCATTCTCAATTTTTACTTCGGCCACCTGCGGTGCGATGTTGTTATCGACGTCACTGTAGCCCGCATTGGGGATACCCAGGTCATGTAACGGCTCTGTCAAAAGTATCTGCAAATCGGGCAAAAGCATCGTTTCCGACATTCTGATCAAGGGTTTTGTTACATATAGCGTTACTACGGTAGAACACCCGGATCCTTCTCGGATTGGAGTAACGTGAACGATTTTACTCCGACTTCTGTACCCCGGGGTTTTGCGGTGCGGTTTTGTCATTTGATTAGCGGTTTTCCGCAATTTTATTCGCTTTGAAGTTGATTATATCCATAAAAAATAGGTTTACTAACTTTTGTGAATATACATGTTATCCGAAATTCATGTTTATAATTTACTTGTATCTTTGATAGTATGCGCTTGGTGATGGATGGATGAATCAGTGAGACAGTCAAGACATGTTATTTTATAAGTAGGGTAAGGGTATACATGCTAGACTGTTATAGACCCTACCCCACATAGTCCTTGTTTGTCACACCTTGTATCTTGTAAAAAGAGTTTAGTGTATTAGGTATTATAGCCAGTAATATTTTTGAATATAAAGTCATCGCCATAGAGAAAGTAATTTAAATTTCGAATAGGGAAGGAAATAAATGACAAATGACTTCTTCTATTACTTTCCTACCGCGAAGTATGATTTATATTATGTAGCATTTTCCAGTGTCGATAGTCACTGTTGTTCATGTATTTTTTAAAATAGTGTATAAACCTTAACAGTTATAAGTTGAAGAAGTATTAAAATGGCAAATGCAGATTTTAGAAAGGATGTGACGATGCCTGTCCGACCAAGAAGTGTCTATACAGCGCACTCCTACAATCAGGTGATGTGATTTTTACATTGATTAGCAAACCGTTAATAGTATCTACTTGCAGTAAATGGGTTATTAATTGTGATTAGAATAAGATTCCTCGGACTGCACAGTTCGTTCAGGTCATATAGAACAGCAGCTTTTTCTATGTTTGGAAGGGATATTTCATAGGGTTTTGTAGTAATATGCTATATTTGCAGTCCATCTCATAAGCTGCAAATATTGGTGTTTAAAGGTATCTATCTCAAAAGCATTACACTTGCCTATAGGCACGATGTACCATAAGAAATCAGGAGCTTAACACACCCGGGGTACGAGAAAATTGGCGCTAAGTACCTATGTCATTGTCTAAAATAGACTGGAATTATAATATGATAGTTCACTTCAGGGCTACGAGTCTCCTCTGTAATTAGGAGGGTTGGAATAAATTGGAATATGACGTCTAAAAAGTAAAATTGTCGAGGTTTTTTATGGGGTTGGACGGCAAACAAGCAGAAGGATCAAATGATGGTAAGTAATCAGGCGCCGCAATCTACACTAAGTGCGTAGGTACGAATAGGAAGTAACATCGATTCTTAGGTTTTTTACTTCAAATAAGCGACAAAATGACAAATTACAGTTTTGCCGCGAGTAAAAGAAAGGCGCTCACGGTTCGTATTCTTATAGTAACGCAATATAACGTGTAGCTGGTAATCAATTACGAATAATTATTTTCATCAGGATCATGTCGAAGGTTAATGTTAAGGGGCACGTATTCAGGTTAATGACAGTAACTTAGTGTAACATATAGTTCAAATAAACTACGTTTAAAAAGCCCGACTTTGACAAGTCGGTTGATGAGTCTGTTGTACTAAAAGCTTCTCCGTAACACTTTTTTTTTTGAAAACTGCTTTATCTTGGGTCATTCAATCGTGGTGGGCGTGGTGGCCCGGAGATTTAAGACGCCCGCTTCTCATGCATGAGAGTACGGGTTCGAAATCTACCAACGGCAAGTACCAATGTGACGTTTTGCCAACCCGCATTGAGCAAGCGTGGTGATTAATGCTCAAACCTTCGCCTTGTGAGAAGAGGCTTTGCTCAGCAGTGGGCATTTATAAGCTGTTGGTGATGATTCAATCGTGATATAATCGCGGTCAAAGATAATATGTACGTACATATAATATGCATGTAGGTCAAAATTCAATTTTCAATTTTTAAAGTCTGTTAAAAATATACATATATCAACACTAGTACCTAACAGTCTATACCTCTGGGCTTGAGCCTTCTCTGTATAAAAGGGGCTTGTCATATCTACGCTTGGTAGGCGGATTAGAGATTGCAGTTTAACAAGTTCAGGTTAATCAGAGACGGCCCAGCCTCTGTTAAATTTTTAGTCCCTGCCTCGCAAAGTAAAACTGTGGGATCATCTGTTGTCGGCGATATTTCCCAGCCGATACGACCTTCAAACCTCCAAGAACGTAATTTTAAACGTCGACAACGCACCTGCCGCTCTTCTGGTGTTGCGGCTGTCCATGGGCGGCTCTGATCGCTTACCATTAGGTGATCTGTCTACTCGTTTGCATCCTATTCCATAAAAAATATGTCTTTATTTTCTAAGTGCAGTTGAGAATACACAGCCGGTCAATCGCCGCTATTTAGCGCGTACTTTTCATGACATCATTGGTCATGTCACATGCATGAATGAAGTTGGATACAAAATATCTAGCTCTTCAGTTGTCTGATCCTTTCTTTTTCAGCAGGGTGACCATTAATTTTTTCCCAGGAAATTTCTTTTAGATGATTTGATTTTTGTGGATTATTTATAAACGACAGTGGGCATAGTACACCCAGCTCTGCTACGGCTCCAAGTACTTCTGGTGGAAAGGTATCACAGTAATCACAGTCAGGGTTCACTGGGTCAAAGGTCATTAAATTCTGTCCCGGAGTTCTCCATTTATTAACATAGTTTTATTAGGTTGAGCTGTAAGGCCGGTAATGTATGGCCGGTGCATGCACTTCCACCATAGATTAGATTACTTCTGTTTGGAAGCTATCACAGCCATAGTTCACTGTATCAAACCTCATTAAATCCTGTTCCGGAGTTCATTCATTAACAGGGGCAGAAATATATGGATAGCGCACCCACATCCGTCAATACTTCTATTTGCAAGGTATCATACCTATAGTTCACTGTGACAAAGCGCATAACATTCTTCAAAGTGCTTCGGCACATTGAACCATGGCTGTGATAACTTTCAAAAAGAAGTAATCAGAGCTATGGCGGACGTGGGTATGTGGTCCATACATTTTTGGCCTTTAAACATCCACTAAAAATGATTATGTAAGTAGCTTCTACTAAGGACCTTAAATTTTAAAATATTATCTGAAAAGGCTTACCACTCTTGGCGTTGTGACTGTGAACATTCTTCAGTTATTGTAGAAGTTTCATATATGTTATCCAATATAATCATCGTCTTCGGCGATCAGGATCAAGCTGCGACTGCATAGGAACAGTACCTACCTACACGGACCGCTTTTGCAGACAGAGTGAACAGCTGGCATTAGCTGCCATTGATACTGCACAATCAGTTTTTTAACTATTTCACGGATCTTCCGTGTGAACCGGTCGATCGTCTACGGTATATCGACGGTGCATTTGGCTAATTCGTCCATTCAACACCCATCGCTACCTGGCGAATATTTCATCTCATGATAACATTTCGTTAACTAGTTAAAGTACCTAAACACTTATAGCCTGTTTATAATATCTAACATTATAGAATATTAAAAGTTATGCTTCATACATAGTGTTTTTTTCATTTCTTGATAAATATTTTGTCATTGATTTTTATTAATGGGTAACGTATGTATGTCGTATGAAAGGTATTTTAAAATGAGCCCTATTTGAAGAGTAGCCGCGGTTGAGCCACTCAGTGGCGAGGCGAGGAGGGTTGCCAAATATGCCAAATGACGCAACGTGGACAGTAGGCCTTAAAAGAATTCACGGGGCTCCAGTTCATAGCAGGAGTAGGAACGGGGTGGTTTTTAGTCAGTATGAGTCTGACACTCCTACTCGCCTCACATAAGGCGGGAGGAGCCATTAGCTGATCCCAATTAAAAACTATATTAGAGATAAATTTAAATGTTATGCATATTGAGGCGAAATTTGTTATAATGTGCCTTTTTAAAAACCAGCAAACAATCAATGACTTAGGATTTACATCATTGATTTGACAATCGAAAGCTAAAATTCATTCAAATGCTGTAGGGTTATCTCAAAGGTAATGATAAAAGCGGATCATGTTTCTAAATATTTAGTAGAAATAAATTCGTCTGGTTCAGGAGGAGTCCAACTTGTCCGCCTTCCAAGACTACAGCAAGTTTCTTGAGGGTGGTCTCGGGCAAGCTGAGCTGGTGGGCGCTGCAGGTTGGCAGCCACCATGGCGCGCTCCTCTGCAGCGCAAGGCTCCTTTCTACCCAGGGGATGATATTTATCATGCCGATACTTGGCGGGAGCTTGAGGTATGTTTTACTTTTTATTTCAAAATAAATGGGACAGTATTTCGCGTACAATAGTCTTACCTACTGACTACTGATGGGTGAAAAAATATTTTTGTTTTGTATAATCCATTTATCTGTATGTATAAAACTGGACGTTACGATGAATAGGAGCCGAGCAGGGAAAGGTGAAACCGCGCGGGAGTAACTAGTGACCTTATACTGGTGAAAGTGTGGGAGCTCTACCTACCCCTTTGTGGATTAAGCCGTGACGTTTTCTACTATATGAATGATACTACGTAGAACACTTCCGATATATTTTATTCTAGCTTCGGCCACCGTCTTCGCCTGCATTACCGTGGGTTAAAAAAACAATCAGCCGAACATAGTACCCCCTCCATTTTTTGAAACCAGTTAAAAGTAGCCTATGTATTATCCCACACTATAATCTATCACAGTTCCAAATTTCATCCCAATCCCTTCAGTAGTTTTGACGTCATTAAGTAAACACAGACATAAACTTAGAAATTGAGCAGCATTTGAAATTTAAGTGAGATTAAGTAAGATCAAAATATAGATGCCTATTTTGGATAGTGAGGCACTAATGATCCCGCGACTTGGTCTTGCATTAAGAGTTGTCATGCACATCTGCGTACTACAACCTTGTTCTATAACCTTGCTACCTGTATCGATTTCGCGACACTGACACTTTAACACTAGCACTTTCTAGTACATGGGAAGCGGATACTTTATATTACTGCACAGACAGTTGTATCTATTGACTTTGTATTAAGTTGTTCCACGAAGGGGTAGTACGGATGTGGGATGGTTAATAATATAATGACGTCATACCACACTTTTACACGGTATGTGTACCGATACCTACAGTTTAATATACAAACTATGAGAACTACTTGTGCAAAAAAGCCTTTCTAAAAATATAAGTTGATGTTCGACACTTTTGATTTGTAAACAGCAAATTATATGGATACACAACAGAAATAATCGTGATAATTATGGTACTTTATATAGATGACTGATGTAGTCGGGGGCGCTGGATACAATGCTTCGGTCACGCCTCATGGCACCGTCTGCCTCCGCCTGAGAGACAGAGTCAAGTAAGTCCGGCTAGTTGACCTAAAAATAAAGAATTAGAAAAAGGTTTTGTGTACGTATCCTCTCAAACACTTGTCACCATCACGTCGTGTCAGTCACGTCACCCCGCCGGTTTGACCGAATCATTGATTGAACACATAATTATGTATATCATCAGTGATGAGAAGTGTGTAGCAATGACGTGTCACTGACCTGTGAGAAAAAAAATATACTAGGAGTATAGAAAAAAGATTTTTACCAGGCCGATGACGTGACTTGACGGTGAATTAACTATTGAGAATATACCTATAAGTACAACTACAAATATCGACTATTTGAAAGTGTCAGATGTAAACCAATCCTATGTGCTGTGATCTCAATGACAATGCCAAATCCTGACTCAGTCGGTATATCATTATACCTACAAGAAATGCAAAATATTAAAACTATTCAATAAAAATTATATTCAAGACGTTACGTAAAGGGGTGGCTTCATCATCACGGGTACACCGGCGCTGTAAAACGGTACTTTACCGGCACGTGGCACGGTCATGACCAAATGGTCACTATGAAATACTTAATTCCCGTTCCCGTGGAATTTTCAGTATAAAACTATCAGCTTCTATCTCGGATCTTAAACGATCGATGTACCGAATTTAATTAAAATAGGTTCAATGGTTTAACATCTTCGTAAACGTCTGTAACCGACCGTAACCGACTCTTCCTTCTGCGAAGCAGTCATGCTAGCTAAGGAGGAGCCAGGGCGCGTGACTAGGTCCTCACGCCCCAGCCGTCGCGAATGAAACTCCGGGCATCGGTCGAGGATCGTGAGACGATCTCCGGCCACCGTAAGCATGGGCCTGCGGACGGCGAACATGGATAGTTCGCCGCCCGACTAGAACCAGACCCAAGCGTGAACCGCGACGCGTTCCACGCTCGCCTCAAAGAGCCATCGGACCACCACGGATGCGGTCCAATAGGGCTGATGCCGACACGGAGCCGCGGAGATCTTATCGTGTTACCATAGGGCTCCGGCTCGAAGGGCACGAGCAGGAAAGAAGTGGTTTTCAGTTAGTAAGAGTCTGATACTCCCTCCCGCTTCACCCAAGCGGGAGAAGTAATTCGATGATTATCCCCCTAAAAAAAGTGGTTTAACCTTGGTATAGATCTACGCGAGACACAATGCGTTTTCTATTGTGCGTGTGTAAATACAAGAGGTTAAAACATAGACAATCGACAATATTAGAATTCCGGAATTCTAATAATATTTATACTGCAATGCAATTCGGTAACGAAATGTCATTGATGTGTTATTAATTATTATTAGAAATGTCAAAATGTCATTCTTTCACTTAGGCAATCGCTGCCATATCAACATTATGTTGACCATATGATTCGGCACATAAGTTAATAATTAAAATTGGGATTTAAATGTAGTGGGTTTGATTCCCGCACAAAACAACTCTTTGGGTGGCACAAATTATTGTTTCGGGTCTGGGTGTATACACATAGTATGTGAAATTGTTAGTTAAAACGCACTTACGACACAGGTAAAACACCTACAATGAGGAAATGTTTAATTAAAAAAAAACATTATAATAGGATTAATATATTTGGCATTTCTGTACAATAGTTTATTTAGTGGGTCAGAGTTCTATGAAATTTCTGGCATTGTCATTATAATTAATACCTACGGTTTGTTGTAGAAAGTATAGTTTCAATTGTTTAGGGTGGCGCATCTATTAGGTACATTTAATGCAAATTAATTTAACAATAGGGCAGATGACTAATTTTTATTTTAATGTCCGTCTGGTAGATTTTTAAAAACATTGGAAACCGAAGAACTGACGGACTAATTAGATTTTTAATTTTTATACCCTGTCATAATCCCTATTATGTATAGCAGAAATCTTCGCTTCATTTTCTCTTAAAATTTGGTGCAAACCAAAGGTGGTTACATGCTCCGCAATTTGCTGTCGCTTCACGTAATTACTCTTGCTTACCTGGCCGATAATTATATTTCGATTTATATAGAGTGGATATGACCATCGACGGGGCTGTACGCGTAACCAATGCTAAGAACAACATTATCTTGGCGTTGTCGCGCTCTGGCGCAGCTGCAGCACTGATCCACCCAAACGGACGTGTCTACCACTACGGATCCAGAGTTGAGATCCAGGCCCGCCACCAACAGGGCAATAACAAGTTAGTATAACATCACTATCAATTCAACCAGTTACAATAAATTATCTACAGTAACGTTAAAATGAATGAGGTGGGTAGTTAATCGTAATGTTGGCTGCGATCTCCTGCGGTGTTTAATAAACACCAGCAACTTACGTAGCGCAACCGAAATCTAAGATTAATTGGACACGAGAAGAAGGCACTTTCAGATTATGAAGAGAGATATGCTGCCAAAACTTATTATCAGCTTGACTGTTCTCATTTCGTGAGAGTGAGTGGTGCACTAAAATATTAGTGTTTTAAATCTGCTAGACGATGGCAATGTTAAAAGCTTGTTAGGTACAAAGTGCAACCTTATTCCTGGTGTCCGCATTTGTGGCCTGACCTAATTTTCAGTAAAAGCCTGGACGGCTCGGTAACAACAGCTCGAAATTCTATAAATCAATACTTATTCATTTACAAGTAAGGCCTACTGTTCGCAAGCGACGCGTGTTTGATAGTTGCATGCAACCTACAAATTACTATTATAGGCGGCCTAAAATTGACACTTCATGGATATACCGTTTTCTTTGTTTCAAGAATTTGTCATTTGTAGGTCTCCTGTTTCATTTATAGGTTGCATGCATTCGTCAAATAATCGTTGTAGTCGGTAGGCCTCGATCATTGTCCCCTATTATTGTACACCACACTTTACAGGTAAGTTTAAATTATAAGAGATTTATTATTTCCCTTGAACTTGATACCGGTCGGTATGTGTATTCTTTCCAAGAAACTATAATAGATGTACATCAGACCCGGTTCGTATTTTTAACCAAAAATAGTAAATCTAAAGATAAAACTGTCTCGACAAATAAACGGTATACATAGTTGCTTACCTACAGCAGGTTTTTTATTCCAAAAAACAGTTCTGATTTTAGTTTTACAGCGTACATTTTTGGTAAATTAATGTGTGGCAACTGTGTATGGAAATGTATTTCGCATACCCATTTTGGGTCATAATATCTACGGACTATAACTCAAAATCGTAGATAACAATATAAGCTCCAGTTATAGATATCTATAGCTTACGGTACAGTAATTGTGTTAAGCTGTTCACGGAACTACACTATATTAGTGTGCAATGTGTATAATATAGAAAATACATATACACTTAATGTATGAAGGACAATATTCTTTTATATAGAGTACAGCACAATGTGACCGCATTTATAACAAAATGTATATGGTGCGCGATGTTGTTGTGCCTGGTGGCCCGTGAGCTACATCCTACGTGATGCTGTTACACCTAGTATAGAGTAGTTTGAAAAGAGCCTTTTTGTATAGATAATATTCGCTTACTGAATATTTTAGGTACGCGAAGATGTGGTACAAGGGTGTGTCATTCACTGCGGAACAGTGTGCGCTGGTGTACTTGGTGGACGCAGCTGGCACGCGCACCACCACCGATACTTTCCTTGACATGAGTCAGGACTTCACCCTTAATGTCTTCTACAAGTAAGGCTATCTAACACAATTGCCATTATCACACACTTATTGGACAATCAACTGAATGCGCTAGCTTCAAACTTGTTGACTGATACATTTAAACAACTAAAAGAAATTCACCGCTAGATTTGTTGGTTTAATTTGAGATATAATATACCTGCCTCATTGGCCGAGTGGCCGCAAGTGCAACTGCCAGGCAAGGGGTCTCCGGTTCGATTTCCGGGTCGGGCAAAGTATTACTGGGTTTAAAAAAAACTCAGTGGTAGCACGGAATTGGAATTGTGCTCGGCATATGGCAATAGGCTCACCCCCTATTACATGAGACATAAGAAGTGAAAAGTGGGTGTAACATTGCAGTGGCATTATGTGGCAGTGGCAGTGCCGCATAATGTGCACCTCTGCCTACCCCTTCGGGGATAAAAAGGCGTGGTGTTATGTTATTATGTTACGTTATATAATATACCTACCATACCATATATACCATAATCTACAATACATAGAAAAGGTATAGCAATTTTGTTGGACACTGATTGTCCTCATGCTATCAAATATTTAAGTATAAAGCTCATAACCATATTGCTGAAAATTCCCACTAAAACAGACTGCAGGGACAAACAAACTAACAGGTACGTATAAGTTGTCATAATGTTATAGTAATAATTATGCCATCATTATCCATCAGCAACTTGCTTTGCACTATCGACTTGAGTCCGAGGTACCGTACTATAAGTATGTGCTCGACCCAGTTCTGGAAAATGACCATATCATATACCATATCACTGGGACCGGTCTATCATTACTGACAGGACTATTGTAGCCAATAAACCTGACATAGTGGTGATAGACCGACAAGTACGCCGCCCGATGATAATCGATGTCACCATTCCCCATGACGAGAACCTCGTGAAAGCTGAGAAAGATAAACATAAAATATCTAGACTTAGCTCACGAGGTTGTCGACATGTGGATTGTGGATTCGGCTATCATTGTGCCGATAGTCGTGTCGGCCAAGGGGTAATAGCCCTAAAAGCCTCGGCATCCATCTTAGGAGGCTGGCGTTAGGTGGATGGATCAAGGGTCTGATAGAAATAGGGCCAGTTCTCTTAGAAACGGCACGTATCGTGAGGTTTCTGTCTCTGGAGCCCTAACCACCGGTAGCTTGGGCCATGCTCCCGCTACGGGTTGGCTCCTATTTTTTTATATTTTTAAATATCAATTTTTATATTGTAAGTATAGTAACTTGTAAATGTAATTTGTAGAGTATTTTAAATAAATATATGTCAATAAAGTAAGCATTAGTTTTAATAGGTACTTTGCTAGCAATAAGCAGAAATCTCTTCAACTGACTCAGTCACTTTTGAGACCAATAGGCCATTGGGGATTTTGTGCATAGACAGCGGAGAGTGATGATGAAAATCATTCATAAAGTGAAACTATAAATAAGTAAATTACAGGATAGAAACTTAATGTTGTAACTTAAGTATTCACTGGTGAATGTAAAAGTAAATTCTTGAGCCGTTTACAATAGTGAACTAAAATATTATTATTCCCCTAGTTTGTTTTAAAACATTGAAATATCTTTCACTTGCCCGACGTTATTCAACATTAAATTAAGTATATCGTAATAAGCATGAAGTTATTTTGCTTGTGTTAGTGTTTTTAAGTACACTCACTGTTGTTTCGTTTTTGTTATTGTATGTACTTTGTGGCGGTATATTCGACGAGTAACATTTTCCGTATAATGTTTCCTATGATTTTATTCAATAGTATATTTTCCTGTTAATTTGGATATTACTCTGATAATAACCTGGATGTCTTTTGTTGAAAAGACTAAAATTATTGAGATAAGAGGTGTTAATAAGTGATCAATTGCAGCGAGTCCCGCCATGGGCCGTCGTACGTGAATGAAGCACTGTCGCTGCTGCAGGCCGCGCAGTACTGGCTGACCGATGATGGCATTGACAACTGGATCATCAACAACGTACGCGTCAGTCAAACTGCGGATGGACTCGTCAGGTACCACGACAAATGTCTTTATCAAAAGCGTACTTTCATGTACTCCTACACAGTATCATTAATATCCTGTAGTACGATTACCACGCAAGAATTTATAGATATGAAACCTATGTGGTTGGTTGAGTGTCTTGACTCTGACTTCAATCATTAAGGATGATAGTAAGAAAGTGGTGTAGCCTAGTATAAAAGGAAACACGACAGTTGTGGTTTGATAGGTCCAGGTCAGAAGAGGTACATGTTTGGAAATTGTCATTATCTTGTATTCGAAACACTAAAGTACTTATGCAATTACAGAAGCCATATAAAAGACATACGTTAAGGGACGCGTTAGCAGCTCACTTCTATTTAATTAATCCGACTTAATACGGGCTTACATAACTACAAACTCCTTTAGAGTCATAAGGTTTAACTTGCTTTAACGCACAACTGGCAATGTGTGAAAGAATCAAGCGAATTATACAATTATCTTATGCTTCTGGATTCACGGTACCTAAATTATTTCATACATAATAATAAAACAGGTAAGAAAAGTCATAAAAAATGACTTTTAGTGCTAAATATTTCTAATTCCGAAGAGTCTACAAAAATAGATAGGTATTTATGAGAAATGCAAAAGTTTTCTAAAACGGAAAAGCAAACCAATTAAAAAAATAACATGTCACAGATGCATCACTAAAGTCGTACCTACCCAAACAAAACGGTGCATTACACGTAACATGAAAATAAACTATGCTTCCATTAAACGGTAGACGGACCGTCTGGGTGTCATGAGAACGGAAAGATAAGCTTATTTGGCCTAACATTACCACGAGCTTTCGGAAAGTTTGTTTACTAGGAACAGAATGGTTTTTTTATTTGATAGGGCGGCAAACACTCTGTCGTAGATATAACTTAATGGTTATGGGTGAAGGTGATGGCCACCGAGATCCGGTGAACCAGCCTTTTGTGTAGAAAGACTACAAGTGCGCTCCCATGTCTTTCTTTCCAAAAAGTTAGGCGCTTTGGGAGATCATCCTTAGTCATAAAAAAGGTATCACTTAATGGTAACAGATTTTAGATTTTGGGATTAACAATAGAGGGAGAGAATGGGGAGATTTGGGATTCGGGTTCCTCCCACGGTGAAATACAATGCAAGAGTTGTCTCACACCGAGCGCCAGTTTTCTGGGTGGCCGCGGTATCGGTCTGGTTGCCGGCCCAATCGTTCGTCAGTATGCAATTCATAGGCTGATAAAATTAATCAGGGCTGGAACAGATTGCATTGTGTAAGATGCTTTTAAAATTAATAGTATAAATGTCAGTACCGTTATCTAAGAATCTTATATGTATCTACTATTATATAAAGCGGAAGAGTTTGTTTTTATGTTTGTTTGTTTGAACGCGCTAATCTCTAACTACAAGGCTGATTTGAATAATTCTCTTTTGTGTTGGATTTATCGAGGATGGTTATAAGCTATAAAACATCACGCTACGACCAATAGGAGCTGAGCAGAGCGTGTGAAACCGCGCGGAAGTAGCTAGTTCTAAATATATGAGCAATTCGTGTTTTAGAGCCAGTACAAATATCGTTTTAAGTATTTACAATCAAAATGTTCTTTTACAAGTTCAAAAAATGTAGTACAGCGTTTTAAACAATAACCGCGATGAAAATACACACTTGAGACATGATTATGTAAGAGAATAGACCTGTGGTGAACCATACACTGTGTATGTGCTCTCCACGTAACTGTAGTGCTAGTTACACAGCTCGCAGTCCTTCACTATTCAGTTTTTTTTTAATTGGGAGCGTCTGGCTATCTTCAGATGTGTGTAATACGCGACATTGCGTATGAATTCGTATCCACGTTTGTATTCGTAGATTCCGTTGTCAAGTTATATTGGTTGGACAGAATATCAAGTACCTACTTAGTTATAAACATTTGCCTGGATGTTGCATCTCATGTGAATGACTGATTTGGTTTTGTAGTACCTACCTATGTGTCGCGAAATTTTCTAAAGATCTTCACCCGCATGCAGTCGGGACGGAAAGGTTAGGTTAGAAGATAAAATTATCAATAAACTTAAAAACCTTTCGTACTATTCTTGCCTTGTTTGCCGTGTAATGTAAGTCAGGTTACCGGAGATCCAATATTTTCCGAAATCCCTAATCCTCAAAATGCGGGAACGCAGAACGAGTTACGAGTATATCTAATTAATTATTAAAGTTTGTAATATTAATTTTTAACTGAAGAAACAACCCAATTGGTACGAGAACAGAGTCCACTCTAGAAATATCAAATTTACCCTTGCATAACTGACATTATTGATACAGTACAATGCATCATAATTGGCTAGTTCCCTAGGTTTAGAATAAATTGTTTAAACTTTTCAATGCAATAAATAGGTAATTAAAAAATAATCATACCTACTCTCATCCATTGATTTGACAATTTACCTAATTTTTTTTCTAGCTAATTTTAAGGAAATATGTTTGCTATTTGACGTAGAAATATGATGACGTCATAAGTGGCGATCCAATACAAAATTAATAGAGAAGTACCGTTTTTCACATTTCATTAAAAGTATTGAATTTGATGACCTGTCAACTACCATATTGTTGAAGGATTCACCGATGCAGCCACAAGTACCAGCTGCGCACCAGCCCAAGCAACGGGTCCGCGTCCATCACGAGTCCGTTCCTGCACTGTACCGCCTCACTAGGCCAAACTCAACATCTCTTTGTTAGGTGAGATCTCCTTTATTTCATCTCTTAAAACATATGGTGTATTCTTAGACATTTAGAGGTTTATATACTTAGAGAGAGAAATACAATGTGAGCTTTAATGTTAAGCAAATTTTATAAGTTAGTTACCACAAAACTTAACTTGCGACCGAACGCAAATGTTACTAAACAATAGCTTTACAAAACACGCAGGGCGCGTAGGTAGCGCTTAAGTTTTAAAAGTAAGTATCTACTATTTTGTTTTATCTAGTTGGTTTGGTTAGATTGATACATGAGATATAATATTAGGTAGGTATGTAGAGAATGTCTGAGACGCGCGGGTCCTTTTGACAGATGCATGCAACCTACAAATAATAATAATAATAATGTTGGTTGTTTCTATGCAAAATGCAAGCATTTGCCAATTAACGAAAGCATACGCATGAAGTGCAGCTTACGTGAACAGTAACCGTAGTAAGAATACTTTATAGAGATATTATGACATGACATTCAGCGATCCCGTGTAACTTGGAGTAAACAAAGAGTAGTTAGTAATCCTTGGTACTTTTAAACAGACGTGGTGAGAGGCGGATGCACTTCGACGGCAATTCATTCATCGTCCGCAACGCCGGTCACTCGGCTGGTTTCGACGACAAGAATCAACTGAAAGTGTACTGAAGCTGCCTACAATAACCATATTATCTAGTTAACAACTGCGAACAATACGACCGTCTGTTGGAACTGGTACTGATCACCGTCGAATGTTGTATAGAACACTATATAGACCTCTCCGTAAATGTCTTTGTATGTAGTGCCATTTTATAAACACTGCCAATGTTTCCTCTATTCTCTTTTCACTCTAGATTTGTACGAAACACGTGGACAAGTCGTGCACAAAGTTGACGGTGTACCTGCTTTTCTTTTTTATTGATGCCAGTGTGTAAAGCTTGTGAAAGTTTTTGAGATTTTTAATTTCTACTGCCCCCCATAATAATTACTGCCAAGCTGCTGTTTTTTATTTGTTAAACTTCGACTAGCGCCCGCGGTGTCATAGTGATTAAGATTACAGTTTCATGATTTAAGTGTTAGATCATCAAAGTGCCATAATGTTATGCCGTAACACATTGAGCATTTTGTAATCCATTTTTTATAGTTTTAACCGCTTTACAATAGCAATAACGAGCCAAAGCAGTGTTAATCTTCAACTGTTTATATTTTCATATACATCTATTAAGATGCAATATTTTTTTTATAATACATATTTTATCGTATTTAAGAACTTATGCGTTGTGTGAGAAACAAAAACAATCCGATTTATAACAAATATCAAATAGGACATAGATCAGGTTGTTGAACTAGATCACATAATTTCAACGCAATGGTTACTAAGTATCAACGGTTGCGACGGTTGCGACAACGGTGGATATGAACACAATGAACATAACGTTTCCGCAACTTCAGTAGGTTTTATTATTTATTATCGCTTTTTGAAGATATTAATAGTTTAATGAAAGACGTCTAGTCGAGTCTAGAGCTTGGCAGTGTTCTTAAAACAGTTGTTTTGGAACTTACGACTTGTCCCCATTTGTTTCTTTGTGTATAAAAGTTCAAGTAATACGTTATTATGAAGTAATAAAAGCAATGTCTGCTTCAAACTGGTTTCTTTTTTTATAATTATAATTAGTCTACTACCACTTTTTAACTTTGATTAGTGACGGTTCTGATTGATACCAAAATAAATAAGGGGTACAGGAAGTTTTACCTATAACTTGTGGTTTATCATATTTGTATGGGTTCGCTCCCCTTGAGCTACTATACTATCTTTCCTCCACTACAATCCTAGAATTTACATTTTGTGAATTCGCAGTTTGGTCTCTCAGTTCACACACACGTGTGCGTTACCCCAACAAGAAAGTATCTCCTAGAGATATATGAGTAGAACGTATAGTTGGTGCCTTATCTGCTGTAAATGTGCCCCCACTTAAAAAATGTGTGCCCCCTGTCGTTTTGAAAAAAAAACGGAAAAATGATTCTTGCTGGGGTAACGTTTTTCTAGCAGGAAAATTCTAAACGAGTGATCGGAGAGAGAAAAAATGTGCCTGGCCAGAGAGCTTATATGTGTGCCACTATGTGCCCCCAAAAATAAAATCTGTGCCCCTTCAGATTTTCGGGATATTGCGTTTCCTGCTGGAGTAACGTTTTGATGAATCGTATATCTCTAAAACCATTGCATGTGCCCCTGTAGAATAAACATACACGAGTAGCTCTTAATGTGTGCCCCTGTGTGCTCCAATTAGATTTAAGGAAATATTTATAGTTTTCAAGTTACCGCGGTTTTATGAAAATCCGAAAAAACATCGCAGCGCCTAAATGAGACAAGGTATAAGTTCGCTGAAAACTGTATTCGGTCCTTCTTGATGCTAGTAATAACCATACAAAGTTTCAAAACGCTTCATGCATGCGTTTTTGAATAATCTTGCTACAAGTCAAGACGATGGTGTCATAACTTTGACGGCAAAATACAAGGAAATGGCTAAATCCCAGATGTGTAGGTGTAAACCAAAATCATGTGCCTTTAATCAAAAATATGTGGTGAAAATATTAAGCTTGGAATGTTTCGCATTAAGTAAATATGAACAAAAAACCAAATTAAGTAAACAACGGCTGGTTATCCGACCAAATTTGAATGACTACTAAAAAGCGACGGATTCATACATATCGATCCTGGACAGATGGGCTAAAATTTGGCATACAGATAGATGTTATGACGTAGGCATCCGCTAAGAAAGGATTTTGATAAATTCCACCCCCAAAGGGGTAAAAAAGGCGATGAAAGTTTGTATGAAACTTTGTCAGTTTTACACTGATCGGGTTGAATTTTGATATGCAGGTAAATGTTTTGATGAAGGCATCCCATAAGATAAGATTTTGATCAATTCTACCCCCAAGAAGACAAAATTGGTGATGAAAGTTTGTATGAAATTTTAAACTGATTGGGCTGAGATTTTGCATGCATAAAAGTAGTTTTATTCTTAGGAGATGCCTACGTCATAGTAGTATGACGTAGGCATCTCCTAATAAAGGAATTTGATACATTTATTCTACCCCCAATGGAATAAAATAGCACATGATAGTTTGTATAAATCATCTTAGCGAATGAATCTAAAATCAATGAATAAAAATAAATTCATTTCACAATAAGTATAACCTAAGTACTGAATGAAGTCTGACGACATTTTTTTGTTACCGTGAAATCTCCCTTGGTAAAGTCAAAATTCTGCCAGAAGTCATTCTGCGTGGACGAAGTCGCGGGCAACAGCTAGTCTAAAATATATAAGTAATGATTCCAAGCTATTATAAAATTAACTATTTTAGATTTTACAAGTAATGAACGATGATTCGGAAATGCCCAAAATTTCCAAAGACACCCTTAGAAAAATTTTGAAGCATCTTAATTTTAAATTTATTGCACGTTCACGCAAGAGCACACTTATTGATCGAAATGACATAATAACATGGCGCCAGCGTTACTTGCGATCTATATGTAAGTTTCGACGAGAAGGGAGACATATATATTATCAAGATGAAACTTGGATTAACGCAGGTAAGGCTAAAATTTATACACAAAATGAATTTGTATACATTTTACATTACATTTAATAGTAATATTGTATGTACTATATTTATTTTAAGGTCATACTGTAAAAAAAACTTGGGTGGACAAGAAAGTCACATCATCTCGACAAGCGTTTTTAGACGGACTGACCACTGGATTAAAAAATATATCTGGAAAAGGTAAACGTCTCATAATTAGCCATATAGGTAGTGAAGAAGGCTTCCTGGAAGAAGGGCTCATGATTTTTGAAGCAAAGAAAAATTGTGCAGATTACCATGATGAGATGAATGCAATTTGTTTTGAGGAGTGGTTCGCTGGAGTCTTACCAAAATTAAGACCAAACTCAATTGTGGTGATGGATAATGCACCTTACCATTCCCGAAAATTGGAAACGGCACCAAAAATGAGCTGGAAAAAAGCTGCCATTCAAGATTGGCTTTTAAATAAAAATATTAATTACGAACCAGATATGGTTAAAGCTACGCTTTTGGAACTGGTTCCACATAACGAGTGTTTTAATAAGTACGCTGTGGACGAAATGGCAGCACAACATGGGATCACGGTTTTAAGACTGCCCCCTTACCATTGCGAGCTAAACCCTATCGAATTGATATGGGCGCAGGTAAAGGGGCATGTTGCTCAAAATAATAAAACATTCAAATTGACAGACGTGAGAAATTTATTTCAGGAAGGCATTCAAAAAATTACGGCTACCGAATGGTCTAAATGCATATCCCATGTTGTCAAAGAAGAGGAAAAAATGAGTAGGCTAGATATATTAATTGACAATATCACAGACACATTTATAATAAATGTTACAGAAAGTGATAGTGATAGCGATGACAGCGACAATTTATAAAATAAATTATTACCTATATAATATATATATAATAATACATCTATCTGTTTTAATTGTTATGTTCCTTCATGATCACATTTTTTTTTATTTCACACATAATTATAAAAGAAAAGTCTCAGATCGTTAATTAATCGTCAAAACTAAATTATCGTTTCAGAAATATTTAATTTCCTGATATACTTAGTTACGAGAATAACATTATAAACGAGAAGAATCGATCCAGAAATATTCCATTTCCATATCGAATAATTTCGCAACGTCACTATTTAGTACTTGTCATAACGTTGCAACACTGAAATTGTCAAATCTGGAATCGAATTAAAATTCTGACTATAGTGACCGGTAGCAACAACGACGAAGCCACCGCGTACCTACTACGACGAATTACCTATTGTCGCCGTGTAGCTACTACGATCGTAGGTAGTCCTAGTGTAGCTACTACGATGCAGTGGCCGGTAGCTACTACGATGCAGTGGCCGGTAGCTACTACGATGCAGTGACCGGTAGCAACTACGACGAAGTCGCCGTGTAGCTATTACGACGAAGTCACCGTGTAGGTACTACTACGACGAAGTCACCGTGTATCTTCTACGACGCAGTCAATACGTAGCTACTACGACGTAGTGGTGTCCGGCAGCTACTACGACGTAGTGTCCGGTAGCAACTACGACGTAGTGTCCTCCGGCAGCTACTACGATGTAGGGTCTGGTAGCAAGTACGACAAAGACACCATGCGACTACTACGACGTACTCGTGATCAGAACTTCGACCTAGTCATCGTGCAACTACTACGGGCGTTACGATCGTGTAGCTTATTCGACGTAGTCAACGTTCCTACGACGTAGTTGTCGTGGTAGCTACTACGACGTAGTCTCAATGTAACAACTACGATGTTGACACCGTGTAGCTACTAAGAGCGTAATTCCAGTCGGGTAACGGAGCAACTAAGACGTAGTCACTATTACGACGTAGTCATGGTGTCGCGACTACGACGTAGTCACCGAACAACTACTACGATCGTTATCACCACCGTGTAGCCACTACGACGTAGTCACACATATATCACATCAAGAGCCTATAAGTGCCCACAGGCCTCTTCTCACACTGAGAAGGTTTGAGCATTAATCATCACACTTGCTTAATGCGGTTTGGCAGTTTCAAACTTATAACTAGAAATTAGGTATCCTCACAATGAGTAGTGTATAATAATCTTAACAAGTAGGTACATATAGCTCAGAAAAAGTCACATTGGTACTTGCCGTTGGTAGGTTTCGAACCCGCACCCTCATGCATGAGAAGCAGGCAGGCAATTACGTCAGTGTGTTTCTTTACCACTATCTCGCCTGGAGGTCTGGTGTACGTTACCAACTATGATGCAGTTATCATTATCATGTAGCTATAAAAGTGTAGTCACCGTGTACCTGTTACAATCGCAGGTCGTACGACATGAAAGGTAAGGTAAATTGAGAGAGAGAGAGAGAGAGTTCCAAGGACGCGTCCTCATCTACCGAAAGCGCTGCAGTCAGGGGAATAATAGTTTGGTGCTCAACTCATAAAAGGTTCGTATAAATGATAACTTTAAATGCACGCGTGAGGCTCGAGTTGCACATTCGCGGAGCATTCGCCAGATGTGAACGCACCCTAAGTGCTGAAACTGCGTTATGCGGACGCACGAGACGGGTACTCGTCGCGTGATCAAGCGCAGGACCAAGCGTGGAGCCACGAGCCAGTCACTGCCTCACTGGCCAGTCAATAACGGTGTGCATGTTCAGTCGTATCGATGGAAAAATGTAATCGATTCTTTTCGTAATACGTAATAGGTATAGTAGCAAAACGACGAATTAAAAAAAAGCCAGAAAATCCGTTTAAAATGAGCACAATGTGTCAGCATACCATATGTGTCCCGCGCGCGGCGCGACTTTTGAATCGACGACATACAACGCAAGCGTTGTTGCACGCCCGGTTCCTGCAAGGCCTTCCTGCAAGGCCTGGATATGCTTCGGCCATGATAGATCGGCACACAAGTAGTCATATCTGTTGACCCTTTTTATTACATTAGTACCAAGAAAATAGTCTCGTCTTCAATGTCAATGTATGAATCGATAAAAATATTACAAATAATTGAATGTCTGGTAAATTGGTGGTAAACAAATTTGGTATACTTATTTTATAGTGACTTGACTTTTATATAAGTATAAGAAGCAGCAAAATGAAATGTTTTATTTAGGACAGGACTAACCGTGATCGAACGCGATGTGTTAAACAGGTGTTAATATTAGTTATTTTTGGGAGGTATCGTCGTAGTAGCTCTAGCTTTCATAGTTAAGTAGGACGTAAGACCGCAAGTTTGTAAAATACCAAAGTTGTATTTGATGGTTACGTTGCATTACATTTTGCATCGCATCGTTCACCGCATCGGCGAAGCGAAGCAGGTTGCGAGCGGGAGGAGGGCGGGCGGTGCGGCGGCCCGTCTTCGTACGGTCTCGTGTGGTTGCGCGGTTGCGCACTGCGCAGCGTGGAACGCGACGCGTACTGAGTATTGATCGACGGGACGCCAGTGGCGCCACGGCGCGGTCTCAGCTGGCGTCGCAATCGTACCTCGTGCGGTAGCTGTCAAATCAAAGTGACGTAACCGCTAGGGCGGCGCGCACACGGCCGCCGTCAGCCGCCCGTTCAGTACGTCCGTGTGATTGCTCCCGCCGTGTTGCACTCGACGCCTTGCGTCTGCGGTCCAGTGCACTGTGTTATCTACGCGGTTGATTCCGCGAGTCAGGTGAGGTTGGGGCCGGCGTGGCCCCGGCCGTTAAAGAGTGTGCCCGTCTTGGCATTGATCGCATCTCGTCTAGTCCAATGTTTATAAACAGCCGGCCGCATCCATTCGCTCCCTCTTGTTTTTGATACATTTGCTTGACAGCGTGCGATTTGGACGGCTGATCCTGAATGCACCGGCCGCACCGGCGGCAACGACGCTCCACTCGGATTCAGTGCACGTATGTACGCTTGCACTTGTTTATCCCGAATTTGTTTCCCATACTTCACTGACGACAACGCGTTTACGTATGGCAGACTATAAATAATACCTAAGTGTTCCCAATACATGCATGTAAACAGAAACATAATGTCGGTTTTGGAGATATTTCAAATCCATCTACGATTATAAACATTATAAGTAATTTTATTTCTTAACATTTTTATTAATTTACGTAATCTTTACTATCTTCTCACCTTCTGGTTGTTATAACTATGTAGTATCTTGAAGGTCTAATGTTAAGCATCCGGTCAATCTAGTGAGTAGGAAGGTGATGCAAATATTACAATTGCATTACTCCAGTCAAGTGCAGATGGGTATTTTACAACTGCGAATCAAAGTACCGACTTAATTTAAGAAAAATAAAGTTTTGGGAAGTGTTGTTGTCGCTGTTATGTAAAAGAGAATACCCACAAAATAAAATTAAACATTAACGAGGAATGGTTACAGCCGTTACAGGCAAATCAAACTATATTTATTTACACCAGTACCTAATCGTCATTATGGTGGTTCCTTGACGCGTTAACCTACTTGGCATTGCTTTTTCATAGACGATGACCTCAAATCAGAACTCCCTACATCGATTTTGGAGTTGCTTTGTGTAACTACTGAAATATACGACGTTAGTTTACCTTGATTGGTTTGCTAATCAAATGGAGACGCTCAGCAATAAGGTTTAGATTATTATGACAAATAAGAAAGTGTAATAATCACTCAGCGGTATTAAATGCCATTGTTTACTACATTCTCAGTATTATTTATCATGTCACGGTCTAAAGGTCGGGTGTTAAACATAAAGAATTCATATTTACGAATCGACTAAATTACTGTTTGAGTAAAAACCTTCATTTTTTTTTTTTTTTTTTTTTTTAAATAAACGTTGCCCCACACTAGGATTTTCTCCTGTGTCGTGGGTGCGTTTACAAACATACAAGTTCACATACACAATGACCCCAGACCCGAAACAACAATTTGTGGATCACACAAAGTGTTGTCCCGTGCGGGAATCGAACCCACGACACGTTGCACGGCAGCCGGTTGCCCAGCCACCGCACCAACCGTGCAGTCAATTTATTGGACCACGAATGTTTCCATGTGCGCCAATTTTTCTCATTACATAATAAATTAGTACGACCTAGTTTTGATAGATGATTAAGTGAGGCCACGTCTGAAATTCTAGGTCTATTTGATAGCAGGAAATGTACGTTTTCTTATGTTCGCGACTTCGGTCTCCTAAACGTAGGACATCCTGTAGTTGATGTCTGCGAGTCATCGTGACGGAAACGATGAAAGTGGACCAGAAATGCTGATTGTAACTTAAAAGCTAGCTGCGTTACATTCGTACTTAGAATATTATAACGTAATTTACAACAAATATGTTTAAAATATTCCTATATACAAAACAATCATCGCTTATGTATAACTAATATCAATTAAAATCTAAACTAAAAGGTGAAGCCATATTCGAAAAATATGTTTTTTTAAATAAATAAATATAGCTATCCAATTTAGTTTAATGTTTTAAGACGATAGGAAATATATGTCAGGTGTTTGTTGTTAGGTAGCGGTGCGTGCCTCACGTGCCTGTTAACCAGATGTTTGAATGTGGTCAAAACAAGAAGAGCATGAAAGGATCATAGTCTATAGCACGTGGCGTTCTGTACTTTCATGCAACATGTTATTGAATGAAAGCTGCACGAATATAAACTTGTAAATAGTTTTAGGAATAGATTCTTTGCGCAGCTTATTGCAAATTAAATTATCTATTGAATTAAAAAATAATAATATGTTTCGTGTATATAAATCAGCGTTTAAGGAAAACTGCTGTTAAAATGTTATGTTTACGACGAATTCCCAAGAAGAAGTTTAAATAATAGTAGTTTCAGTAACGGTGACAGTTTATTCCACTAAGTATAACAGATAAACTATGTCGCGGTTCGATTCGAGAAATGAAATGCCACAGATAATTAAT